TGGGTTAAGATCTATGAACTGTGGAGGTTGCTGAATGAGGTGAAACCATCCTCATGTCAAAGAAACCTGTTTGAGATGACCTGTTTAAGCCTTATGAACTGATGCAGTATCCTGCTGGAGCTCTAAAAGATGATAACACTGTGGTCATAGACATGTTAGCAACATTTCTTTAATATTATGGTGTTGAAACACGGATCACTCGGTATTCTACAGTTTTTGCACAAACAGTGCCAAAAATATATTTCAACACCATTACATCATCACCACCTGTCTGGATTATTAGAAAATGTTCTCATGTTTATATCCAGTTGTTTTTGTTGCTGTAACTGAGGCACCATTGACAAAGCAATGCTGTTTCCTAATCTGTTGTTGATTGATTGTTCTTGAAATGTGTAAATTGTAGCCTAATTGTTTTGTTTAAGCTGATAGGAAAGGTGTGGTCTTTTGCTGCTACGGTACATTTGCTTAAGAGATTGACTTGTTGTTTCTTCAAGGATGTTATTCTACCATTATTTTGTGAGCGACTATTTTAACTGCTGATGCTTGTGTGTCACCTGGAACCGGTCTGTCAAACCCCTTCGTCATCAATAATCCTGCTGAGCAGCAGTTTTTGAAATACGCAGACTAGCTCAACTGGCACCTATGCCACATTTAAAACTCTTCTTTAAAACTGCTCAAATCTATTTTTTCCCCAATTTAATGCTTGAATCTCAGTAAATTCTAAGTAAATCATGTCTAAAGCGCATTTAACTGTAGTACACACAAATAGTGGCCTTTTTAATAGTGTTATAATGTTTAGGCTGTTTTATAATTTATAACAGTATATGATAAATCAAGATAAACAACATTTTCTGAATCCTGCTCAGACATATGCCGTCAGAACATCAGACTCTTTTATATTAAGCAATCATGATGAAAGCAGCATGTCTCCTTGGGGCCACTTTACTTGAAATAACGCAATCAGAGAAAAACACTCTTCATTTAATCTTTCCTCTCTTTCTCTCCTTCAGAGGCTGTTGACCCAGACAAGATGAAAGACAAGTATTGTTTTACCCCCAGCAGAGGATTGTGTGTCATAAAAACACTTTACCTGAGTTGTTAAAAAAATAATGTAGAGTTTTTGATATACTTTCTGTAGCTGTAGAAACCTTTTCACCTGTGCTATTGATAGGGATTGCTTTTCCTTTTTCAGTCAAAGATAATGTAGACAAATATTTTCTACCGTAAATTGTTTCTCAACACTAAAATAAAATCAGAGGCTACTCCTTCTTCTGTTACAAAAGCTTATTTGTATTTTATTTGGGTTTCGTGTTATAAATCAGCACAAAGAAATGCATACCAGTAAAGTGAATGGAAATAGTTGAAAGGTTGGTTTTACATTTTATTTAAAACAGAAATTTAATCAAATGTGTGTTGGTTAAGTATTTTATCTGCCCTGCAAAACATATATCATGCAGAGTCCACTAAGTAAAAAAATTACAATAAATTTAAACAAATCAGAAAGCTGCAGATTAATTTAACACTTTAATGATTGGTGGTCTTTAGTTTTAGTCTCTAGTAACAGTAATAAAAACATACAGAAATGTTATGATGGTAATCAGAGGGTAATCAATTCTACATTCATTGGACCTATTACTTTCGATGCAAAATTTTACCCCCCCATATTTCTGTCCTTAAATGTGATATAAAAGCTGACTTTTACAATTACTTTAGCATTTTTTGTACCTCTAATCCTTTTGGTGAAATCATATTTTATAGCAAGCTTCTAAAGTATAAGACGAAACTAATAAAAAAAAAAAGGATTACTCAAGAGAAAGGAACTGAAAAAAAAAAACACATTAAACTTTCTAATAGATGACATATAGATGATGGTGACACTACAACTACTGGAAAGTGGCATTTTCAAGAGGATGCAGAAACAGTTTAAATAGACTATGAGGGCCAAACAAAAACACAGAAGGAGATGCAGAGGTTCCCAATAATAATTGTTTATTATTATCTGCATTTCACCACAATCTCTTTTATGCTTAATATTTCTGTAGGATAACTATGTTCTTTTAGAGCTTACTCTTAGGACACTCTAAAATCTGTCCAAATATGGCAGCACAATGTAGGATAAAATAAACATACATTTTAACAGACAATCCTCAAATGTCATGAAGAAAGCTAAAGAAAACTGGAGATGTTGAATTTTGGGGAATCAACAATATAGGGTGAAAATAAAAATCTGCTGGATTTGGACAATTTTTAGATTATAGGTTTGAGACAAAGTATTTCTAGGTAAGGGTGTGGAAAAATGATTAAAGAACAGCAGCAGTAAAAATGAAGCGGTAAATCGCTCACTCCAGCAATCAAGTTATTGCACATTTTCCATTGATTTCCTCCCAATAAATGTTTGTTTTTGATTTAAATAAGTGTATTCAAAATGGCATCACTTTTAAAGAGATGTGTACACCTTTTGTACTTCTGCATGCAATCAAATAAATAAAGAGTGTATATGCATTTTATAATCAAAAACTTTCATTAACTTTAAGGATACGTTTATATGCAAATTAACCATTTTTCAGATATTTCACCAAGCAACCAAACCTTCACGTGTTAAGGATGCAGGTTCTCTGAGTAACACTTTGTTTCTAACGTTTCCACAAGATGGAGCCAGAGTTCATGTTTTGTTTTCCTGTGCGTTTTCCTCAGGTATGTGTTTGTAATTTAGGATGAAAGGCGAAAACACCGCTTTTATTATGAAGAATCCACTTCACCTCTGTGGACTGTGTTCAGCTGCAGTATTGCTCTGGGAATTTGGGTTATGAAATAAATCAGGTCAGAGGATCACTCAAACAGAGGGGGGGTGATCCCGTTGCACCAGTGGAGCAAACCAGAGCCAACAGGTTCCTGGTAAAAGGAACCTGTTGTATCATCCCTGCGTGGAGGCAGTGGGACAGGTGATCTGCGTCTTGATTGACCTCCTCATATAAAAAAAGTTGTATTTAAATATGTGTTACTTTCACTTTTTAATATATGGCAAACCAGACTGTATATCTTTCTCTTAAAAAAAAAACAAACAAACAACAGAAAAGAAAGTTTACTGTCTCTCAGCTGCCTTTGAGGTACTGTGAACATTATGTTCTGAAATGTTGACTTTACATCATAAGATCATTGAGGTCTTGAGAAGTTAGTGCTGATCTTTGTGACCTTAAACCAATAATAACCGAGATACAATGAGGAAGTTAGTGAGGTTTGTTGTTTAAAAGATTATGTGGTTGGGAAACTTTAATGATCCCAGTCGAAAGGAAGGATAAAGTTTACACTTGTGGTCAAAGGGAGAGGATGACTTCGCAAAGTTCACCTGAGTGGATTTCGCAACTCCTAACCTCATTTAAGCTCTCACCAACATCCGCTTTGCCAAGATTAAATTCCCTTTAAAGGTTACGAAGATTGCTATGTGAATGAATTCCTTTAGATGCACAGAAACAGGAGTTTCCCACACAGACTTGTAGAGATTCATTACATGACCTGGTCCTATGTTATGCTTCCTGAAGGGGCCTCGGCTCTGATGAGTTAAGCAATATTGTAGTTGGTTTGGCAGCTTCCCAGCAGCTAAGACAATCCAGCCACCCTGTTGATACCTAATCTTTGCTCACTACCCTCCACCACCCCCCCACACAGACACACACACACAGACATGTAAGCAGGTATGCAGAGGAACGCATACACTCAACACAACACTTGCGCAAGCCCAAGCCAGCCATGCCCCGGGTAGTCATAACACGTAAAGGGTGGAGAAATGCCAAGCTCTTATAGGTCAAATGATCCGTGAGTAAAAGTAGACCAGGCAGGAAGAAAGAGCAGATGTTTTGAAGGTAAAACTGTGTTTTTTTTTTGTTTTTTTTTTTCTAATAACTTGACCTCATGCTCTGTGGGTTATTGGAAAAAGAAAGCAACAGAGAGTACGTTCTCCCTGGTGTATTCCAGGAAAAAGACATTGACCTGCTATTGACATTTGTGTGTTTGAGGAGTTAAATGTTACATTACGCAAAGGTCAGGGAAGAGAAACCATTAGAAGAAGAGATGGAGACTAACTGGTCAAGTGTTTGTCTTGTCCTATTGGAGAGGGAGACAAAAAATGTGTTGGCCCACATAGCAGGCTTTGCTCAGGCAGAAAGATGTCTTTCAAGAAAATCTTCAAGGCACACACCTAATCTGAGAGGGAATTCAAAACAAGTCACATCATAAATATGAAAAACTGTGATCTTTATTCAATAATTCCACATATACTTCAAATATACATATTTACAAACTTTTTTACACTGAATATAACTCTCACATGTAACCGCTTAGGGGCCGATGAAGCCTCCAGGTTGTGTCACAAATACACGATTCACAGTGCAATATGAAGATGTGCACCCGTGTCAGTTTATTCTACACATCACATGACTCACTCTACATATATAAAGCAAAAAAAATAATTCATACATTTCCTACATTACTTTGTGAGGAACAAGGAAAGTTATCATGTCTCTTGCCATCTTTGGCAAGCAAACATGTTTTAAAATAAGCTTCTGTAAAGACCCGAAATTAAAGGATAATCACTCTTTAGATGTACCAGATTTAGTACCATTGTCAAGTTTATTGTGTCAGAATGAAATAGCTAGAAAAGATCTGCAACTACTTGTCTCTTTTAGGCGTTGTAAATAATGTCCCTGATCATGAAGACGAAGGGAAAGAGGGGTTTCAAAAGAACTGATAAAGAAGTGAACTGGTCTGAACAGATTCCTCCAGCCAAGGTCAGAGTCAGACTTTACTGACACGCATAAGCGCTGAGTCATCAACAGACATTGTATAATGCCAGATTGTGACAGACTCAGACTCGTTTGGTTTAAGATGCACAGTGAAGACAAGTGCAACAATTGGTTGTCGGCTTGGCTTTGTTTGGCATCAGATCTTGACAGGATGTTTAAAAGGGACACAAAGAATAAAAAAAACAGGCTTTACTATTCAGCTGAGAAAAATGTTGTATTTTTTATGCTTAAAACATTACCTGAAAAAATATAGGCATTTGTTTTAGAGTCACTGTTAACAACGCGTGGGTCTATTATTGGTATCAAATGCACCAAGTTTCAAAATGTCTGATTTTTAAGACCTCAAAAATAAAACAATCAGAATGTTTTTATGATTTAAATTCATTTTAAGAAAAAGTACCAGCATAGATTAAGCTTTATGTTGCTGTAGGAGCATAAAGCAGGGCAATGCTGCCCATCCCTCATGTATTGCTGCTCCCCCTGGTCAGCTAGTCAAAATAACAAAATAAGGCTGCTATTACCTTTTCCTTTCTGCAAAACAAACAAAATAAACTGAGTGTTTGTTTTTACCAGCTAGTAAAACAGCAAGCAATGCAGTTTAACCTTACAAAATACCAGCTTTAACTCTGAGAATGTAATAATGTTTACAGGTGTACTTAAGAACTGCCTGCAAACAAGTTTGCATAGCAGATAACTTAGCTCCATACCCAGATAGCCAATATGGACAATCTTATCTGCAAAGAGTGCTTCAGAACTATGACTGAAATCAGGGGGTCCTTTCTGTTAGATTATAATAATAGTCATTTCAAGATCATATCAATGATATTTGTATTTTTTTTTCTTTTAATAGGCCTATCCTTTAAATACTACTACTTAGTTTTGTAGTGTAATAATTTCATACTGGCCCATGCCCAGTTGTGGCTACAATGGCTGCAGCATTTGATTAGACAGTTTCTCACCAGGTGTACCTTTCTTTATATAACTCATCATAAATTAGATAAAATCTCCCCTCTGTTTGTTTTTTTACAAGGACTTCTGTCAGACCTGGTGTCACTATTAGTTGCTGACTGAGCGTGGCAAGTCTTACACCAGCAACATCCTGCCTTTCTCAACCTTCTGCACATGGTGTGAGATTTGCAAAGTGATCTCCGCTCGCTCAGACGGTGCCAGATTGGCAGTGAGACACCTCCGTGGTGTCACGCTGAGTGTGACACACGAGTCCCTTCCTAACCATCTTTCCTGCTCTGTGTCACTGTCTGCTCGAGGACGTCGGGCTCAAGCTCAGGCCATCCTCGAGTCGACCGTTGAGTCAGCCACAGCCTGGCCAGAGAAAGAGAGGACCAACAACCCTGGCCACGGCACTTAAGATTCAGCTAATGCTGTGTGAAGCCACATGAGTGCTGGCCTGGAGATAGAGGGGTTTTATATTCATACGACAAACTCCAAGAAGCCTGCAGAGGATATTCTTTGAAATCAATCTGACAAAGTCTGAATCACTGTGATTCTTTTTAGCACCATCTATTGTTTTAAAATGCACAACGAATGACCATTGTGAGCAATGCCCTTAGCAAAGTAACACATACAAGACATCAGAGTACAGTACAGTGAGTTTCTGTAGAAAGCTTGAGGTTGTATGTACACACAACAGTACACAAATGGGTTTCTGAAAAAGTGCCAATGTACAAAAACGACGATGACTCCAGTCAGAGCAAGTTCTGTTTTGGTCTCTCAATCAGACTCTTGAACGAGTCTGTCAGCAGAAGAGATCCTCATCCTCCTCCACTTCAAATGACGGCACGGTCTGTTCTGCCGAGCTCGCCTCCTGTTCGCCAAACGATGCATCCTGGGGTGATGACGGCAGGTGGAACCACGGGTGAGCGAGTAGCTCAGTTGCTGTTAGTCTTTCTGAAGGCTCCTTCCTTAGCAGGCTCTGAAGCAGACACTTGGCCTTAGGTGACAGGCCCTCAGGCAAGCAGCACTGCCCCCTGCGGATTTTGGAAAACAAAGTTGCGGGGTCTGGGTCATGGAAGGGGTAGCGACCCACCAGCATGGTGTAGAGCATGACCCCCAGGCTCCACATGTCGGCCATTTTGCCAGAGTACGGAGTGGGGCCACTGAGGATCTCAGGGCTGACATAGGCAGGGCAACCGTGGGTATCTGACATAGAGTCTTTGGTGGGGTCCTCAAGGATGCGGCAGTCCTCAAGGCTCTCAAGTCTCACGTGTGTCCTGTGAAGACAAATTTGAGGAATTTTTAGAATGTAAACACTCTAAGCTGATTCTGTTTAAACCTGCAACAAGAACAGAAAGCTTTACGTTTTAAGTTTTATGACTTGCAATCAAAGCGTTTTTCAATTAGCCTTAATCTGCGCAGCAACAGATGGACACCCAGTCTGGATACAGGCAGCACACATATTTACATACCACCCTCCAGTGAACTCAGTCTGACCTAAGAGCAGCTGAGTGACTCCTGTTTAAGAAACAGAGCTGCCTAAGCAAATTTCCAGTAACTTCCTGGCACCAGTGTGGATACATAAACACTCATATAAATTTCAAACTGCAGAGCTCCCTCCCCCTTCCGTACTCACAGTCCGTAAACTATTTTTAGGCACGTAAATGACGGGACATGCATTAAGTCAAGCTGCAGAGCAACTGAGGCCCTGAGATTTTCTGCTCAGAAGACATTGACATATGTCTGTTACCAGCTGCACAGGACAACCAGTGATTATTTAAATCAAAATGTTTTTATCAAAAACTTAGGACTGTTTATAAGTGGACAGGTGGTGTAAATGAATCAGTTTTCAAACTATCTGGGTTAGTATAGAGACAAGGACCTTATTAAACTCTTTGCAAATTGGGCCAAATTAGAAAGTCTAAGGGGCTGCATTTGCACATTTAGGGTAATGCTTTCTACTTTAAAAGACAACATCTGTTTAAAAAAATCTCCATTTCCTTTTCCTGAGTGTTTCCATTAGACCACAGACATAGGCTCACAGACTTAATAATTGAGCATTAAAGCAAAACCTGAACTACAATTGTTTTAGAGATAACTTTTAACCCAGCACTATGATGGGGTCTTTGACTTTTACACTTTTAAGTAATTAATATTTATATCATTGCCACCTGTTGAAGCTCTAAGGGCATTGCAGCATTCAAAGGGCCCCATTAAGGCAGAGTTTTTGCAGTAGAGGAACCACAAAATATTTGTTGAAAAAGCATCTGAAGTAGTGTAGCTGGGGCCTCGGAGCAGAAGTGGAACAAAGAAACTTGGGCCCTGTCCACAATGACACCAATATTTTTTAATCTGGAGACCTTTTATTCACATACGTCACTGTTTAGTAAACTTAGATTTTTTTAAAGCCTCCCTCTGCATATATAATCTTTAGAAAACAGCAATGAAGCATTTCCTGTACATTTTCTTGTCTTCCTCATGTCTCTGAAAAACTTTGAATGAAAGCCAATAGTGGGAAAGAAAACACAACCAAACATGGTTTGAAATCGGGATCCTCTTGAATTTTGATGCAGAAAATAGTGACGTTTGCTCACCCTGTTTGAGACTTATATATACATAAAATGCATAGGCCTGTGTAGACATGTACTGTCACTGTCTACATACTGTTTGCAGAAACTTATTTTGTACCAACAAATTAAACTGGATGCATATAAAGAGCTCTTAATTTAAGTATTTTTCAATTTTTGAGAAAACTAAAATGTCAACTCATCAGTACAGGATTGACTTTGTCACAATAAAAAGGTAAAAAAAACAACCTATAAAACATTATATTTAATCATTTGTTTTGTAGCTCTACTTCTGGGAGGCCCTGCATCAGTAAGAAAGATGAGTAGAGGGGAAAAAAGGTCACAGTAACAAGTGTGAAAGCATGACAGCCATAAGGACCAAAGCAGAGAGCGAATGATATTTAAACAACCAGATAGTGGAGGAGATAAGTCATTGGAGGAGAAGAAGGAATGAAGGCAGAAAGGGAAACAGAACAGAGAGAGTTAGAGGAGTGGAGAGAGTGAGTCATCCTCTCTGTTGAGAGAACATATCTTCTCTCCTCTCCGGCTACGTCTCAAGCCGAGGCTATCTGCACCTGGGTCCCACACTGGCCAGCCATGCCATAATTACCCTCAAATGGCTGTTGCCACATCAGTGACGCACGGGGGAGGAGGGCTGGCCTGGCAGTCAAGCTCTGCATGCCTCTTAGCACTATTCACCTTCTCTAAACTGGCTCCTCCATCTGCACTCAGTTTGTCCATGTCTGTATATGTGTGTGATTATTGACAGCATTTGTCAGATTTTTTTTTATTTTTTGTGATTGGACGGCTGCTCTGTAGACCAGGAAATTGCAGCAGAGCTTGTGTAATTAAGATTCAAGTGTGCTCGATTGTAAAAGTCATGGAAATGTATGAAAATGTTAAGATCAGACATATTTGTATCACACTTAAATTGACATGTTCCTTTAGATGAACGATTTTGACTTTAAAAAGGTTATGCATACAAAACCTTTCCACAGTGAGAAGCCTCCCTGAGTTTTCTTTTAGTTTTAAAAGAAAACTTCCTATTAGGTTAAACAGATTGCAGCCTTTTGTCTAATTTTGCACTAACTCCAATATGCATGAACAAACAAACAAAAAAAGATTGAGGAAAAGAAGCTGTTTAGCCCTCCCTCCTCTTTGCACATATACACTGTGACTCATCACTCTGCAGCGGTATAGTTATTAGAGGGGCACAGGCGGCTTCGTCTTCTCTCTGTAGGTCCCCACTCCTATTGATTTCCTTTGACCCTGCAGGTGATAAGTCTTCATAGATGAATGTTGGGAATATTTATTAATTGTAGAAAATAATAGCAAAATGTTTTGAGTTATTTAATGAACAGAGCATAACACCTAGAGGTTTATGTGTGTCTGTGTAGGTTGAATGCTTGTGGGAGCCAGTTCAAAACATCTGAACTACGTCTCTGTGCATGAAAGTGTATGTGAATGAAACCAAGTTAGAGAGAGCAGTCTTCCTGCAGCGCAGCTATGATGTAATTTATTAATAAATAATGAGTAATAAATGTTTTTGAATAGAAGGGCCCCTCAGTAGGGTACGGTTGTCTCATTCAGCAGCCTTGTCTCGCTGCTTTGCCAAAACTACCACCCACTACATTCACACAAGCAGGCACATACACATGCAAAACAAACAGATAGGAAGCATACAAAGGGACATGTCGCAGGCGAGGATGGGAGACAGACAGAGAGGGTGAAAAATCTGGGAAGCTGAACAGTCTGCCTCTACAAGTACAGAACCTCCTACTCGATCTGTTCTCACATTCAGATCTGCACACACAGCCTGTGTGTATCAGCTGCTGCCGTGCAGGCTGTGGACATTCACTAGCATGTGCCACTACACTTCATCCATTCAAACAAAGTAACTTCACTGTTAGACCAACATTACTCGGATAATTGAGTCTAATAAATATGCACATATATACTGTCTGCAAATGTACATCAACAGGGTGCACTGCTGCTTTTAAATCACATTTTATCATCTCTAATTTGACATTCTTGACTATCAGTGTTCTTTTAAACTGCAGGTAAAATCTTATTTAGACTTAAAATAACTAACTTTTAAAAATCTGAAGCATGCTATATCATTAGCTACACAAAAAAAAGGATCAATGCTTGTCCATCCTTCCAGTTCAGCTCATTTGGACCTTATCTCACCTTTTCTCATCTGCAAAGACAAACTTGCGAAGCTTGAGGTCGCCCAGCACAATGCCAGCCTGGTGGCAGTGCGCCACGGCCAGGACAACCTGCTGGAACAGCCTGCGGGCCTGCTCCTCCTCCAAGCGTCTGCAGCTCTTCACCAGGGTGTGCATGTCCCCAAAGTCCTTGTCCAGAAAGACGTAGGCCCTGCTCTCCCCAAGTATGATGTCCTTGATGCCGGCAATGTTCCTGTGAGGCGGCAGAACGCTGTAGGCTCTGATCTTTTCCTGATACATCCCCATATCAAACACCTTTAAGAAGGATTGCAGAGGGAAAAGGGGAAAGGAAATATATGGTGGAAAATGAGAGAGAAAGGGAGAGAGAGGGGATTTGTGATTATGTGTGGTATGCAAATATGGAGGTGGCAAATAAGTGTTGCCACAAAGGCAAATTTTATTTCCTAATGCTTTTGCTGATAGTCTTGCAATATATTTATTTATTTATTGTTTTTATATATTTTTTTGCAAACCAGAAGTGTTAAATGTAAAGCGTCAATAAGTTGAAAGGTGTTTCTTTATTTCTGTTAAAAACTTCCTTTTTTTGCATATGTGATACTTAGTATTTTAAAATCAAGGATATGGGATTGTATGACATCTCCAAAAGGGTGTTTAAACATACCAGATCATAAACATTATTCTAAAATGATTAAAAGCAAACAAAAAAATAAAAAAAATAAAAAATAAAAAAAAAAATAAAAAGACTTGTATGAGAAAAACCGGTTATGGCTTTTGATATTTGTCACTGCAAATGATTTGTGACTCCCATTTTTAGATGCGCCCCTACAGATGAGTCACTGAAGCATCAAGTGATCAACTTTTATTAATTAACAAAGCCAAATACAATCAGTTTCTTTCATGCAAAAAAAGGGTAAAATAATTGTAAAAACCAAAAGGATATCCTTATCTGGAACCATCGCTTCCTATTTTTCCAATACATATTTGCATTTTTGTGTTTTGTCACAGCTTGGCGTATTACAGTGACGTGTATGCAAATAAGCCGAGTTGACAGACGTGGATCTGTGGCACCTCTGTGTGTTTCCACAACTCAGCACAAAGAGACAGCTTTTTTTCATTTGGGCTAATGAAACAGCTTGGTGTAGAACCCTAAAAATAATTAAGCAACGTCGCTGTTATTACGCAAAATGTCAACAGATTTTGCGTGAGAATGACAAATGTTGAAAAAAAAAGTACCATAAATACGGATAACATGTCAGACGGGCGATTGAGCAACATCATTCATTCAAAGAAAATTGCACAATTCCCCTGATTGCGCATACCTTGCACAGCAGCTCATCGCCGGTGTCGGTGTTCATCGCGCCGTGCGCGCTCTCCCGGTCCGCCAGGGGCAGCAGCAGGAATGCGCCTATCCTGGAAGGTCCCTGGTGGGTCGAGGGGATCGGATTGACCGCAAGGCTGACCGGTGAGGTGGGGGACGTGCCGAGGAGTCCCTGCGGGTCCCCTGAATCTGCGATCAGCTTTGCGCATTTAGCCGGCGGCTGATCATCTGAGTCCAGGCGCTTGTGCGCGACTCTTCGGGTGCAGGGGGCCACCAGGCTGCTCCCCTGCAAGCTCATCCTGAGGGGGCGTTTGACCATCAGGAATAAAAATGTTATTAAAAAAAATATTAATAATAATAAAAAAAACGAGTCCACTTGTGTCGGACTCCTAACAGAACCTATTAACAATATTCTCCATTTCCTGCGTCGGAGACAAAAGAAACTAATAATCCAAAGTCCTGTTTTGAATGTTGTTTTTTGAGGGAAAAATCCAATCCTAAGTAGATCCGACAAAGAAAGAAGGGAAAGGAGACAGACAGAGGAAGAGAGAGAAAGAAAAAGAGAGGTTGCCTCACTCACGGAGAGGTTGAGAGTGAGTGAGCTCCACTGATGTGGAGCTGTGAGCTCAGTCCAGCCTCCCTGTGACACAAGCATTGAGTAATCCAGTAACAACACTGACTCCAGCTACAGTTCAGCCCGTCTATGGGATGACTCTGCCCACTGGGTTACCTTTCAGTAAAGAAGCGAGTATGAGGCTGAGGGAGTTTTCACAGGGTGTTGTGAGTCTCCACATTCCTCCACAGTTTTCAGATTGCACTGATACAACAAGAGCAAGCTGCCAGGAATGAAGAGACCATCATGTGTCACTCAACCTTATCATGTCTACATCATTAAGCATGTTAACAATATGTAGTCAAGTAGACAATAATTAACCATCTCTAACTTGTCTGACTCAGGCATTTCGTAATTTTTGCTCTTACCTCGCATTTTTTCTTTTTTTTTTCTTTGAACTAGCTGTAACTTCTTTCTGTAAAGTGTAGAAACAAAAAACAGCCTTGAGGTTTTTTTTGTTGTTTTTTTTATTTTGGCCTACACACATACACGAAAAAAAAAAAGAACCATGGGGACCTTTAGTGACTTTAGAAAGGAGCACATTGGACTAAAACTAATGTCAGTCTTCTGTGAACAAGATTAGTCCTAATTCATTTTTCCAGCCAGTGGGGGATGTGCATTTTGCTGTACCCTGTATGAAAATACCTTCCTGTAACCCTGCTGCTTGATGACTTTGAACATGGAATTTTAATTAAAAGAGCCAGACTTCCAAATTAAAAGGCCCTTTACACTCTGATGAAAATCATTTGAGTACTATTTAATAAAGTCCAAGTTGAAATCTGAAATGTATGGATTTGCAGAATCATAGCTGGATTGTTTTATAAAGATTCTTGTAAGAGTCTTATTCTGTTTAGGGAATCCCAAATGTGACGATATGAGAGCAAAAACAAATTAGATTAAAACAAGCTTAAAAATGTCCTTATCATTCTACACTCAATACGCATTTAAAACATGATCCCATAATCTGCTGTGATAGCTGGCCTTAATTACTCGTGCCTTTCACCTGATTCACTCTTTCCAGCTCCTAATTATCACTCATCTCATCCACCTGCCAGTTGCCCTTATATTGGGCTCAGTTCCAGCTATCATGGCCAGATCATTAGATGTTTTCTGTTAGTCTGTCTGTTCAGTTTATTTAGTTCATGTCCTGGATCCTGGCAGCCAGTGGAAAGAGGGTTTTGTGTCTGTCTCGTCTCCTGCTCATCCACTGTTCCTCCCCTACTGAGTCCTCTGGCTTTTTGGCTCTATACGCGGGGAGATTCAGTTTTTATTCCAGTAAGCCTAGCTCCAAGGTGGATACCAGTTTAAAGGTCCTGCTCAAGTTCTGGTTCCACATCCTGTCTCGGCTACCCTCTTCCACTGAGTATGCACCTGATACTGTCTGCTCCTGTGTGTGTCCGCTTGGTCACGCTTCTGGACTCTAAACCTACCTGGGAGCTCTAGGATCCCGGGAAGCCTGGATCCTGCCTGCTCTGTCTGTTCCTGCCTGTTCTGAATCCCTGTCCAGGATCGGCTTCCTGCAAGTTCTCAGTGTCGCATGCCGCGTCGGTCTACAGTCCAGCGGCTGGATTGCGCCCCTTTCCAGGGAAATGGACTGGACCATTGAACCAGGTAAGTGACTCACTGAAATCTTCATCTTCTGTCAGATGATTGTGGTCACTGCTCCCCTCCTGCAGCATCCACGAGCTGCAGATCCTAGCAGCTCCACTTTAGTTTTGTTTTTCATTTAATAAACGTTTTGAACTTTCCTACTGACTGTCTGCCCTTGAATACTGGGTGCATCTGTCCCGATTCATGACGCATGGCTTCAAATTTTTATGGTGCAAAGAGACCTAAGAGGTTAGGCAGGAAATTGGATATGTTCTGAGCATAAACAAAAGGGTAGGTATTACTTAAAGGTACAGTGTGTAATAATTAGAGGAATTTACTGACATGTGATATATAATCTGTATATTTGTTATTTATTAACTATGAACTTAAAGTATCAGTCTTTATGTTTGCCTTGCCTTAAAATATGCTACTTATATTTACAGAGGAGTGGGTTAGTTTGTGTAGGCAGACATCTTTTGTGCTATGTCAGCACAAACCTGACAAATCAGTGACTATAGAGATTGCCATTATGTATGGGACTGCTGCAAGTTAGGCCTAGATACAGTCCTACACAGGTTTATAAAATACTTTTTGTAAAATTATGTAAACTAGACTTACACCAGCCACGACCAGTGTTCTGTCAGAACAGCATACACTGTCAAATCGGCATACACCTGTTTTTATCTAACCTAAATTAATTCTGAGTCACAATATAAAGAATAGCCAATGTTTTCTATGATTTTAAACAGGAAAACTAACATCTAACTAAATTTACATTCCCGCAGACGTGTTATTTACTACTAGAGTAACTTATTTTAGGTTAAAATTGAATTGTATGGTTTTAGCTATAGATGAGTCTCCTTCTAAAATCCCTGAAACTTCAATCATGAGTGACAATTTCTGCATCCAACAAATAACAGTATAATCAAAGCTGATTTTTTTTAGACCCCCAGGTTGGGGTCTGAACTGCCCCCTCACCCAAACCAACTCAAGTCTCCGCTAAGTGCGGACCCCATTCCCCCCGTCCTGCTCTCCTTCCGCTGGCTGGCGTCGGGGCTCGCCGGTGCACTGGTGGAGCTCGGGGTCCGGGGGTGGATGCCCAGGTGGCTACTGGCTCATTCCTGGCAGCCTCTCGTGCCCCAGCCGGCCGGGGCCTTGCTGGGGCTCTTGTCTGGGGGTCGGGCGCCCCTGGGGCCCAGGACCGGATTCACTTAAGGGTGGCTGGCTGCCGGCGGAGGCCCGCGGACTCCGGAATGGCGGTGGCTGGGGGCTTCTTGGGGGCTGTCTCTCCTCCTCCCTTGGTGGGGGTCTGATTTCCGGGGCTGGCCTCTCCTTGGTGCCTTCACTCTTGGGGTCCCTTTGGACGCCTGGGGCTTTGGGCCTCCCGGCGCTGGACTCAGTGCTCTGGGGGGTGTGCCTCTTCGGCTCTCCACAACCACTACTGAGCATTTTTTCTGTGCATTTTTACATGCACAAGTGCCCCCTCACAAACAATTACAGGTGCTTGGTTCCAGGTACTCAGAGATTCACTTCCATACAGAAAGCCCACATTCATATCTTCAAGTAACACAGAGTACATGTCAGACTTAATAATACTACTTAATACTACACCAGCAAGAGTCAACCTCTAAGCAGGAACATGATTGCCTTTGTTCGAGCAGGGGAGAAACTGCAACCCTCCACGAAGACCCAAGGGGGCCTGCTCACGACAGCAAGGGACTGGCAGCTCTTGGTC